TGCAGGAGGCAGCTGATCAATGACTCATCATTGATGTTTCTATCTCTCTCTCTCCCTCTCCTTTCCTCTCTCTGAAATCAATAAAGATATATTTGAAAAACAAAAGCAAAAACCATGCTGCCAACCACCTCCTTTGTTGGGGGATTTTTCTCTAAACAACACACCATACGCCAAATCCTGCCTGCCACTTGTTTGTGTACAGCCTGCAAGCCAATAATGCTGTTTATACTTTTAAATATTTGAAAAAAATCTAAAGAAGAATCCTATATCATGGCACATGAACATTATGTAAAATTGAAATTTCAGTGTCTATAAATAAAGTTTTGTTGTCATTCCTATTCATTATATATTATCTGTGACTGTGTTGATGCTGCAACAGCAGAGTTGAGTTATTGGGACAGAGACTATATGCCCCTCAAAGCTGAAAATATTTATTATCTGGCCATTTACAGAAAGAGTTTGCCAACCCTAGTCCTATAGTATATGTTTTAATGGCTAAATAGCATTCCAGTGCGTGACTATATTATTATATACTTAACCAAGTCTCTCTTGGGCATTAAGATGAATATTAAATTTCATTATTATAGGCATCATTTCACAGCTCCTATTAGCATTTCTTTTCTTATAATACTGTAGGGCTAGATGAAACCTTTGTGCTCTTCTTTTTAAATTAAATTAAATTTTATTTTTTCCATGACCATTCATCCCCTCTATGCCCTCTTCCACTTCCCCCCTTCCGCCATCACCACACTGTTGTCTGTGTCCGTGAGTTCTCTCTCTCTTTTTATTCTTTTTTGCTCAATCCATCAACCCCCCCATCGCCCAACAGCTGTCAACCTGCTCTCTATCTATGAATCTGTCTCTATTTTGCTTGGTAGCATATATATTTTATTACTTTCTTGGAGTAAATTGTTACAAGTAAGATGCTGGATCAAAGACTATATGCCTATATTTTTTCATATGTTCATTGGCTTGAATTGATTCTTTTACTCAGTTCTTGTTCATTGTCCATTTGTCCCTGCAATATTCATCTTTTCCTTGGTGGTTTGTAAAGCTCTTTTTATATATCAGATATTAATCCTTTGACTTGTCATCTGTGCTTTTGTCATTAATGATGTACTATTTTTTTTCTTTTTATGCAGTCAAATTTTCCTTTATTTTTTATGTGTAGAAAAGCCCTTTTCTACCTCAGATTTATATAATTGTTGCCCAATATATTTTTCTATTATCTGATTTTGTTTTTTAGATTTCAGTCTTGAATCCTTAGGGAATTTATCCACGTAGGCTTTGAGGTAGGGTTTAACTTTATTTTTCAAATGCTTAGCCAGTTGTCTTAGTGCCATTTATTGAATAAGCCGTTATTTCAAGGTTATATAACTTTTTCAGATTGTTATTTTTGTTAGAAATTTGTGCATTTCTTATTAAAATCAGGTTTATTGATTTGATTTACATACAATAAAATTTACTTTTTTTAAAGTACAATTGGGAGAGTTTTAGGAAATGTATTCAATTTTATAGCCACCACTCTAATCAAGATATAGAACATTTCTATCATCCCCCAAACGTTCCCTTTTACCCCTTTGCAGTCAACCCTCATCCCCGACCCTATACTCATGCAATCACTGGTCTGTTTTCTGTCCATAAAGTTTTGCCTTTTCCAGAATATCATATAAATGGAATCATACAGCACATAGTTTTTTAGTCTGCCTTTTTTTCTTAGCATAATGCATTTAAGAGACATCCATGTTGTTGTGTGTATCAATAGTTCATTTCTTTTTATTACTGAGCAGTATTCTATGATATGGCTGTACCCCACAGTTTATTTAATCATTCACTTATTCAAGGACACTTATTGGGGTTGTCTTCAGTTTTTGGCTTTTATGAATAAAGTTGCTATACACATTTATGTAGAGGTTTTTGTGTGGATATATTTCTCTTGGGTAGACACATGGGATTGTTTTGCTTTATAAGAAACCATCAGCCCTGGACAGTGTGGCTCAGTGGTCCGAGTGTCGGCCTGCCCACCAAAGCATCTTGGGTTCTGTTCCAGGTCAAGAGCATGTACCTGGGTTGCAGATTCAATCCCCAGCCCTGGTTAGCGTGTATGCGGGAGGCAACAAGTCGATGTGTGTATCTCTCACATTGATGTTTTTCTTTTCTCTCTTTCTCCCCCTCCCTCCCTTCCACTCTCTCTAAAAGTCAATGGAAAAAATATCCTCAGATGAGGATTAACAAAAAAAAGAAAAATAAAGAAATTCTGAGACTGTTTTCCATGATGGCTATGCTATTTTACGTTTCCACCACCAATATATGAAAGATCTGGTTATCCTGGATCTTTGTTAGCACTTGGAATTGTCAGTATTTCTTATTTTATCCATTCTACTAGGAGTATCAGGCTTAATTTCTTTAGCCTAGTTTGGATGTTTTAAGCAGTGTTTTCCAACTCATCCCTCCATAGGCTTTCTAAGACTGGATGGTTTTTACTTGCTCAGTCGGTCTCCAGTTGCTCGACCTGAGACAGCTGAATAGCCATTGTTGCTTTTGTTTTTGTTTTTCTTCTTTCCATTTCCTTTCCTAGGCTTGTAGAACTATAAAACATAAAATTAGAAAAGGAGCCTAGAAATAATCTAGGGTAAGGTTTGGCAAACTGTTTCTTTTTTTAAAAAATATGTCTTTATTGATTTCAGAGAGAGGAAGGGAGAGGGAGAGAGAAAAACATCAATGATGAGAGAGTCATTGATTGGCTGCCTCCTGTATGCCCCCTACTGGGGATCGAGCCCACAGCCCGGGCATGTGCCCTGACTGGGAATTGAACCCAGATCTCCTGGATCATAGGTCAATGCTCTACCGCTGACCCATGCCGGCTGGGTGGCAAACTGTTTCTTTAAAGAGCCAGGTAGTATAGTTGTCCCTCTGTATCATTGAGGGATTGGTTCCAGGGGCCCTCACAGATACAAAAATCTGGGATGCTCAAGTCCCTTATATAAGATAGCTTAGAACATTGCATCCAGTTGGCCCTCCACATGCATGGATTATCATCCTTGGATTAAAAATATGGTTTTTATCTTGGTTTGGTTATATCTATGAATGAAACCTGCGGTTGACTAAAAATACTTTTGGCTTAGCAAGCCGTTTGGTCTCTGTCACAGCAACTCAACTATAACGTTGTATCATGAAAGCAGCCATAGACAATACAGAAAGAAGTGGGTGTGGCTGTGTTCCAATAAAACTTAATTTACAAAAACAGGTGTCCTACTGGCTTTGGTCTTTAGACATAGTTTGCTGACCTTTGGTTTAGTCTAACAACATTCTTTTACAGATGAGGGGACTGAGCTCAGGTTTTACCCTTTTCTTTGATTGTAAGTAAAGACGTCAAGGACCAGGATATCAACTTTCACCAGAGGAGACACACTGAAATTGAGTTCAAGATGAGCTTAATTTATGCATAATTCCCTATTCTAGCAAATGGTGTTACATGAAGATGTTAATACAGGGTCTGTCAAAAGTTTTAACTGCACTAAGACTTTTGGGACATTTAATATTGCCGTTAACTAAGATGCTAGTTGGCTTTTTGAACCTACTATATCTGGAGCAATGGCCAAATTTGAGTGGTAAGAAAATAAAGGTAAAAATAGTTGAAGTAAGAAAAGTATGCCACCCTTTTATTCTTCTTCAAAAGACTGATTTTAATTTTGGATATGTTCAAATTTGTTTATCTTTTAAAATAGCCATTCAGTGTCACATACCAACCCCATACTTTTTCCCTCTTTAAGATTACTTCCTGAGTGTTTTGTTTCATTAATTGGTCAAATAGATGAAGATTCTTAGGTCAAAAAAAAACAAACAAAAACATAACAGGAAGTATACACTCATAGTTCTATGAACTCAAAGCTAAAAATAATCATTGGCTGTGAGTACTCAGGGAAAGAACAGTGTTTAGAAAAGTCATCGTAAATGTGTTTTTTCCTTTCTTCCAGCACTGGAAGAAGTATGACATCTATGAGAAGCAAACCAAAGAAGAAACAGATTCTGTCGTGCTGATAGAAAACCTAAAGAGAACCCCTCAGTAATAGGGATAATTTATTTTAACCTTCAATGTACCCTTGTGAAGATTCATCCCATTCTGCATTTGTTACCTGGGAACTTGTTAAATGGAAACTGAAACTACAGAATTACCGGACCGTTTAAAAATAGGCAGCTCATAAGAGCCACAGGTTTTTTATGTTGAGTCATGCACCGAAAAACTAAAAATAATGTGCCCTTTGGAGAAGAGAGTGGAAGTTCTCATGGAATTATAAAAGCAGGCATCTTTTGTGAAGGTTTCAAACTAGGGGACAAAGCAAAGAGTGATGATGACAGTAGAGTCAATCTTATCAAGAGCTGTGATGACTTCCTGAGGGATCTATGCCTGCTTTGTATTCTTTGTGTCAAACAATACCAACAAATTTTATTTGTGGAGGAACTCATTTTTGGGTGCAAATGCCCAACTTGAATCACTGAGACCATCTAGCAAACAAAAGTGAGGAAAATCTGTTATCTCTTGTTTGGGATCCCATTAAATAATATTTGTGGCTATTAAAACGTAAGGGTCCGGAATCATCATCCCTTCAGCGGCATTTCCCTCTACTTTGAAAGGCATTGTTGGCCACCATGATGACAGCTACAGAAAAAGCAGTGGCAGCTTCTTTACCAAGACCTTTCAAAGCCATTCCAGGCTTTTAAGGACAGCAGAGACAGAATGATTTATTGGGTATTAGAGTTTGAACCACTGTATTCTCTAATGACATATTGTTTTTTCTTCACCTCTACTACTCAAATCAAGTATTTACTTTGTGTCCAGATTGTGCTAGGCCCCCAGCTGTGAGGCACCTCCCTCAAAGGGTTGACAATCTGGTTGGAACTCCTCAGTTCTTACCACTTCCTTTTTCTCCACCAATCATTTTTCAGACCTTTCAATTCCCCAGTTCCCACACCTAATTTCCCCTTTTGCATTTTCCCTCATTGTAGTCTTTCACCTTTCAATAGAATATCTGCTCAGAACACTTAGAGGAGCAGGGAGTGATTTGTATCTCAGGTAAAGTGTGAGTTGACTGAGAAACAATGATAAGTTCTTGCATATTTTGTAACTTCTGTGTGAGTCTGCATTTATTTGAAGGTTTTCAGCATTTACTAGTTCTCTACATATTTTCTAAACAAATGAGATATTATCTTCACTTAGAACTTTGTTATTTGCTTGATAAAAAGAATAGTTTTGTTTTCCTCTTTTCCCTTACTGTCACAAGTAGTTATTAGGTTTCGTGTCTTGTATAGATAGGCAGCATCCAAGGCTCCAACATTTGTATACATTTTTTGCGTATGTTAGTGTTCCATTCTCACCCATTTCCACAACACATATATTTCCTCCTACCCCTACTTCCTCCAAATTAAAAGAAGTATGGAAATGATACTGCCCCCCCACACACCATTGTTTCTCTCCTTACACACATAGACTCAGATTACTAGTAGGAACTTGAGAAATTTGTTTTCTCCATTTCTCCAAACATTCACCCATTTATATTAATCAGATAGTGCTACTTATAATTCCTGCTGTTAAGGGGAGGAAAATCAGAGATCTCTGCTTTTCACAGGTTTGGGGAAAAGTGGCAACCTGCTTGCACTGAAGAGGAGCACTGTGTCTTCAAGTTTTCTGAGGAAATTGGGGTTCAGAACAAGGGTATATGCCAAGGTTTTGCCTCCCTGCACTTTCATTTTTGAGGTCAGATTTTTATTTCGAGGCTGGGAGACGGGCATGGATGTTCCAGTTTGTTCTACTGTTCTCTAAAAATAAAAATATTTGGTTTTCCTTTGTAGGAACGAGATTATTTCCTAGCCAGGTCTTTTATAATTCTGGGAAGCAAAACACCGAAATGCCTCACCAAAGCCATTTCTCCTCTTACCCTATTTAGATGGCAATGGGGGAGGGGGGCTTTGATACTCTTATTACCCAAGGAACTACTGATGCATCCTGGAAGTGTGGAAATTGTATTTTGTTTCCATCCTCTTTTAGCAGTAAAATAGTTGAGGGGAAAGGGGGCAGTGAGTTATGGGAGTAGCTAGCTATGGCTGTTTTATCATTGTTGAAAACTGATCCCCAGGTCTTGGGAACTCTTGGAGACTTTGATGCAGGGTGGGGCAAAAGTAGGTTTACAGTTGTTCATATGGAAAAATAATACAATAATTATTAAGTAATAATATAAGAATAAACTTTCACGTACTCACAACTGTAAATCTGCTTTTTCCTCACCCTGAACATCAGTGGGATTCTCATCACCTGTGGGAAACTAGTAGGTTCATTTACTATTTTATGTCTAACCTATATGGATTTTTTTCTCTGCATGCCTAAGTAAACCTACTGTAAGAATGTACATTCTTATTCTTTCGTTCAGATAAGTGTTGTCTTCATCTGGGCAGTAAAGGGATATGTGAAACAATGTTAACATTTTTAGTAATGTTAACTAAAACATTACTCAACTAGGGATCATTGTGTTTAACTTCTTATAGGAAAGCTTGAATAAAATAAATATTGTCTTTTTATATGTTCACTCAAATGTTTTCCTTTGGTATTATTTTGGGGAAAGTATGAATAGTGGGTGGCAGAAAAAAAATGGAGTTAGAAGAATAAATGTGAAAAATTCCAAGACAGCTCTTTTATCTTACAATCATTTAGCATAAGATTCCCTGCTGTTCTCAGTATGGCTATGCTTTCTGATAAGGCCATGCACTTAGTTTAATATTAATACAGCCTTTGCAAGCAGTACCTGAAGGGATGGAAGTATTTGAAAAATTGTAGTCATGATAAAGGAAATGGAAAATTGATCCTTTCTAATATTAAGCTTAAAATAGAGTACAATATACTTAAGGAAGCTGTCATGCTATACATGAAGGGGAACCCCTAGTTACAAATTGATCACATTAGGTTAGATTTGAGACTAAGAAAATCAGTTCTCAATAGCTTTATTTAATTTATCTTTATTGTTGAGAGTATTACAGGTATCCCATTTTTCCCCCCAATTGACACCCTCCACTTCGCTCCCAACCCCTCCCCAGGCCTTCACCCTGTTATTGACTGTGTCCATGGGTTATGCATATATGCATATAACTTCTTTGGTAAATCTGTTCCCACCCTCCACTGCCCTTCCCGCTTTCCTCTGAAATATGATCGTCTGTTGCATGCGTCAGTGTCTCTGGATCTATTTAGTTCGTCAGATTCTTTTGTTCATTAGCTTCTTCTTAAAGAAGACCCTTCAACATTTCCTGTAGTGCTGGTCTGGCGGTGATGAACTCTTTTAGCTTCTTCTTAGCTGTGAAGCTCTTTATCTGACTTTCAATTCTAAATGATAGCTTCGCTGGATAGAGCAATCTTGGTTGTAGTTCCATGTTTTTCATCACTTTGAATATTTCTTGCCACTCCCTTCTGGCCTGCAAGGTTTCTGTTGGGAAAT